GTTGCTCGGGGATAGCCGAGGGCTGCCTTTGGCCCCAGCGTGCTGCGTGGTGTTATAAAATGTTTTGCTTACGCTGTCATGTTCCTCCCAAAGAGATTAAAGCTTTTTGCTGGCATTCAGCAGAGTTTCAGCTCTCCCCGGCCAGGAGCACGGTCGCTGCGTTGGTGTTACTGGGAAGAAACTGGAAGTCCGAAGGTTTTCTCGCCCAAGGTCACAGCGATAGCGATGGTAATAGAGCGGCAAGCTCCTGAGTCACGGTCATGTGTTGGAACTACAAGACCATTTCTCCTCCTCGTATGTAACTTCAGTAAATATAGACTCGGCCGAACCTCTTCCCTAAGTCAAGAGAGGATTCAAGAAACAGCGACAGAGCTTAACCCCTTCCCACGCCAAACCCAACGGCGCTGCCGCAGGCAGTAAGCTCAGCAAGCGACACCTTTCTGCCTGGGGATTTCGGAGTTTTCTTCCCCCAAAAAAATTTCCACCGGCTGCAGGAGGCAGAGCGCTGCGTGACTCAGCGTTTTCTGAACCTGATGTGTGTACTTTGCCTGTTTATTCCCAGTACAGTCAGTACCGAGGGAGTCATGTTTCGCAGCAGGCTCAGTGTTTATTAACCAGCTCGGGAACTGATCTAAGAATAACTTTTTTCATTTGTTTTATTGGTAGGGATTTTTTTTTTTTTTTTTTTTTTTTGCTTAGCGCAGTCAGCAGCCCAAGGTGGAAACTGCACAGAAAACGGATAGAAAGGGTTTTCCCCGGCAAGTTACGGGAATACATAAACACACGACGATTACTGCCTTCCCCCCATGAATAGCCACATCTGAAATACCAAATCACCAAGATGAAAGCTTTAAGGGAAGCAAATTGCTCTGCCTCGAAAGTGGAGCAGCTCAGCAGCCGTCCGTGCTGTTCCAGCTCGGGGTGCTGCAATTATTTGAACTCCAGGGATTTCGACACCAGCGTTTAGATGCTTCTGAACCAAAATTTTTATACAGAGCAATATTTGCTTCCCAGCCTTCCCCTCCGTGGTAGTTTATTTAGGGGATTTTTGGAGCATTTCGTTGCCGATAACTTCATTTGCTCACCTCATCCTCAGCATTTTAGCCACAGCGCATAAAAGCCGCATATCTCCAGCGTGACTGCATGTGATTACATTACTTTGTGTACCTATTTAGGTGCTTGGCACAGAAAAAAGTCCTTTTGACAGATGAATAGATGCGATACTTCTAATCAGCTGACTTGTCTGAAAAGCAATGGAGTGCTGTGATTTATTCTGTCGGATGTTTTGATAGTTTATTTAGGCTGCCATGTACTTAGATGTGAACTTAGTACCCGCAGAAATTCATAAAGCACTTTTTTTCCTCCCCTTTTTTTGTTTCCCTGTTACGGTTTTAACACAAATACCAGTTAAGGCACACCTCCCTCTGCTTTGAAGCGTGCCCAGCAGAAGCATTTGTTGTTGTGTAATAGTTGTGAAACATGTTTATTTAGGTGATGTTTGTTGTCTCCAGAGAGATTTGTATTGCACTTGTTCTTCAAGGCTGCAGTTGTGAACCTAGCACCCGGAGCGGTCGTCTGGGTTAGAAACAGCCCTGGTTGTCCAAAATTACTGTGTTTTGATGACAGCTTAAGAGCAGGAACCCTTCAGTGGCTGCTATTTAAGCCTTCGTATGCTTTTTTTTTCTTTCTTTATAACTTAATTTTCCTTATAGCCTATTCTGATAGGGTTTAAATAGTAAAGCAAATTTAACACTAGATTGCATCGTCTCGCATTTGCCTCTCAGCCCTACTAGTGTCAGAAATGACATCTGTTGCCAATGAGGTGGCTGTCTTTGGCACTGTATTTGAAAATGCCTGCTTTGCAGTCTTTCTGCGAAAATTCATAGGTTTTTAGGCTTAATGATAGCTGCACGTCCTTTCTTTCAAATTTCCTTTTGCTTGGGTGATTAAAAGAAAACTCAGGCTGTTTTGGAGGTGGGCAAGGACCTTGGGGGTGGCATGGAAGTTACATCTGACTTAGGCTTTGTTTTGTTGTGTGCAACTTGAGCCTGAAGAAAACATGTTTCACGAGCCTGAAGAGGAGGGAGAAGAGCGGATATTTTCCTCCCCTTTTGCTGTGATGCTACGGGAGCAGCAATTAAAACCATCTGGGGTAAGGTCTCTTCTCTTGAGATGCAGAGCTGGAGGCAGAAGGAGCTGGTGGTCAACCGGTCCGCTGAAGATGTGAGTGTTCATAGTATTTTCTGACACAGTCACCTACCCTGCGTGCTGGGGTAAGAGAAAGCCGCTGATCCTCCAAGGGGAGAAGCCTTAATCTCCTCTTGGGCAGAGATCCCAGATGCAGAACGTCAGCAGCGAGATACCACAAATGCAAGACAACTTCTCTACGTTGCGGATAAAAAGATACCAGAGTTTCCCCGCATCTCGTTAGTGCTTGATTATTCTATGCCGGGCTGCGATCTCTCGTTTTCATGGTGTCATTGCTGCTGCGAGATATGGTACATACTGCTCGTTATACAGCGTTGACACGAACAGCTCAAGCAGAATCACACTTGTCAAATAAAAGGGGAAAATATTTGATGCTGCATCTGACATCTCAAGAAATTAGAAGACTTCTTGTGAATTAGTTGTTAACGTGACTTAGAGGTTTTGCCAGTGGTAAGAAGGGAGGGTAGCGCTGGCTGGAGAGGATTAGACCGAATGAGCTCCCGGAGAGGAGGGGCGGTGGAAAACATGCCCTGCTTACCTGCCAGAGGTTGCTGCTTGCAGAGCAGGAGCTGATTAAAGCATTTAATTGCTCTTCAACCAGAGCCTTTGCTGCTGTATTGATATAAAACTACTACAGAACAACATTCTTCAGCTAAATATTCTCCCAAGTGTGCCTTGGCATCCTAAATCACAGCAAAAATCTAGCGATACGCTTGGAGACAGACATTTTTATCATCTCTCTGACCCAAAAGGCAACGTGAAAATCAAGTAGAAAAGAACACAACGTCCTGCTTAGTTAGCCTGTGTAGTAGGAACACCGTCCCTAAGTGTCTGGGACTATTTTTGGGCTATGCTCAGTCCCCTCATCTCCTCTGCCATCTTCTGTGGTTTGGTTTTTTTTTATGTTCTGAGACTGGATAATTCCTTTGTCAGATTGTTTCTAAACTATATTTTAATTTACCTTGCATTATATTTTAATCAGCAGGAGATTAAGTGAGGATTTTATGTCTAGAAAAAGAAGAAAAAAAGAGTAACAAAGAGACCCCAGCTGTCTCCTAAACACTGCATGGGACACTGGCCAGCGGGTGCTGGGACACTTGGTGGTGGATGTCTCTCAGCGATCAGGTGTACTAGGTGCTCTTCAAAGTAAGGCATATTCTTGCTCCACAATCATCCTACACTTGCTCATATCGAAAGGGCTGAAGAGGCTGAGCTGTGGGTGAGGTCTGTGACTCTGCTGTAGGACTCAGCCTGGAAGGTGAGGAGTGAATACACGCTTTACGCAATAGCATACTATTATGCCCACTTCATTTTGTAAGAAAAACTCCTCTTAAATTGCTTTCGTTTCCTTTAAAGCATACATCTTGTAAGGATGGGTTGACTCTCCTTTGAAAGCCGGAACGTGCTTGATTATACTCAACGTAGTTTGCTAATTCAGACTTGGAAGTTCTGCAGGCTTCAGGACTGAGTTTCTTTCTAGAAACAACATGTTTTGTGTTGTTTCCACACCACTCCTTAAGCTATTTGCCTAAAACTGAGCTTCAGTCTTTATGCTGGATCACCTCTCTTGAGAGCTGAAGTTTTATAAGTTTCTTTCTTTCTTTCTTTCTTTAATACAAACAGGTTTGACCTACCAAATATAACTTAGTTTTATTGTTTAAAGATTTAATTATTAAAATCAAATATAGCACAGTTCAAATCGAAGATACCCTAAAATGTGCCTGAGGGCTGGTGCAGGGAAACCTGTTATCTCAATACCACATTATGGACTCAAACGGTTCCCTTTGTTCCTTAGACCTGCTCTTGAATTTTAATGCAAGCGCCATGAAATTCAAAGATGAGAAGGGATTCTTCAGCAAGACTTGCAATGTGAATGTGTCATAATTCTGTGTACAGAGAGGTATTGCAATGTTTTGAAGCATATCTTCTCCCATAATCCGTAAAGTGAGCCCAAAAACCTTCTCCCAGAGGACACCTGAGACCTGATGAGCTGCTTTATTCATCGAGTAAATCTGATGGTTTGTAGCCAGCAGGCCAGTTCCTCTTGAAAGTGAAATGCTGCTGCAGGCTAGTGGCTGGTTTTTACACCGTAACAATAACAAACAATTTAAGCAAAAAAAAGTAAGTTACAATTTTTGTGTTCCAAAAAAAAAGGAAAAAGGTGCTCTGAAAAGCGAGTTCTAAATGTCTCGTTGAAATGTGTAATCGGCATAACTCTGCAGCTCCAGTTTATTGTTACTTTGGGCACATAACATGGGGGAGAGCATCTGGTGGTATAAATTGTTATAGCCCATTGAAATCAGTGGAACTATGAAAAATTTACACAACCCGTGGTCTGCCTTACATCTGCGGCGATTTCATTGTGTGGCGAACACTTAAAAGCAGCAGCGGCTTGTATTAAACGTGTTCGAGGTGGTTTCTTGTCGTTTGTCTTATTTTGGCGGATTTATCGGCAATACCTAGAGTTCCAGCGGTCCTAGGAAGCGAGTTCAGAGGAGGCTTGCGCAAAGTACGTGGCGGGGGGCTCGGACAGCGCAGGGTTCCGGTGACACGGTGTTGTGCTGACGTGCCTCTTCGCTATGTTTTCTGCTGTGGCACTCGGGGAGCTTGGGGTAGCGTTGACAAATTGGTTGGGTCCTTGTGGGAGAAGGCTTTCTGCATCGCAGTCACCTATGTTGTCTTCAGCTCGGTGTCAGTCAGCAGTCCACCTGATAATGTGTTCAGTTCCTGTCTTTTGGGATGAATCATGTAGTAGACTTAAGTTTTTATTTCCTTTTCTTGTTCCCCGGCAGGCTCCTTACCCCTCAGGACAGAATGCAGCTCCTACCACGTTGGTGTACCCTCAAGCCCCTCAAACAATGAACACCCAGCCTCAGACCCGCTCGCCGGTAAGGGAGCCCATGTTTCCATTATCCTGTGTTCTTTCTTCCTCATTTGTGTGTTTCTCTGTGTATGTGTGTGTCTGTAGCGCTTGGCCGGTTCTCTGGAAGGCGTGTTTTTACTGAACTGGAAGCACGTTCCAAGTGGCAAATCGTGATTGAATTTTTTAGGCGCTGTCCTGGTAGGATACTTTTCCTTTTAAAGTGGCTTATCAGAAAAGAAGCAATGGAGGGATTCTCATCTACGTTCAAACAACATGATTTGTTTTTAGCATAGTTGCTTTCAGGTTCACTTCATTTTAGAGTTTAGATTAATTACCAGAATCTTTCTCTTGTCTTTGTTGCTTTTATTTTACTTTTTTCGTTAAGGAAGTATTTCATAAAGTGATAGACCAAGGATCAGTAAACGAAAGCTATTTTCTGCAGCAGCACTCAGTCTCAGGTGGCCTGTGGGCATTACCTCCGAATCAGTGCCACTGGACCAGTTCTAACCATTTACTGCCTAGTAAATGGTTTTATTGGTTGTATTGTAATACTGCTCTGCCATTGTAGGACTTGGGTTCCCCAAACGAGGCTCTTTTTGGGGAATCTCTGCTCGTAGCACAGTTCCACGCGATGCTAGGAGACCCTTCTAGGACATCAGATGCTTAGCCCAGCTTCTAGAGGCATGATAGCTCACCATCACGATGTCTCAAGCCTCAGCCAAGGGAGCAGCAATCCCTGCGCCTTTTGCGAATCCGCATCTGCGTCGTAACGCTTTCAGGTTACCTATAAAACCACTGCACCGTTCCCAGCACTCTTCTCTTTTTAGAGTAAGATGAACGCTGCTGAAGCGTGGCAACTGAAAGCCTCCGAGACAGAAGTCTTCTGTTTGCCCACGCAACAGGTATATAAATACACGCACAGAGGGCAAGCTTTCCCCCCACGTGCCGCCGCACCGATGCGCTTGCCCGGCTTCTGGAGGTTTCGCCTCCAGGGGATTCGCAGGAGTGTTGGTTCTGAGGCCCATTAACCTCTGTGTTGATGAACAAGCCAATTAACATCAGTCTGATGAAGTTTCTGTGATGTGGACAGCTGTGAATTTGTAACTGGATCCTCCCCCACCTCCTTAGTCCCCTGTTCTGATCAGTAACGCAGGATACTGATGGTAAAAAACCCCTCTTTTCTCTGTAAGTATAATCATCTACTTTAATTGTTGAAAAACACAGATAAGTTTATATGGTTAGAACTGGAGCAAAAACCTGACTGAAGAGCTGCATCTCTAAACCAGTTTTTTTGACAGCCCAGCAGAACAGTGCCAATACATTGCACAGACAACTGGAAGAGGAGGAAGGTTTTGGAACAGAGTCCGGTTTACAGGTCCCTGGCTGGAAGAGGCTGGATAAAATACTGCATTGTAAGCAATATAACAAACTGTACTCCTTCTTGCAGGCAATTGTGCCGATGGCACTGTTTTTATTTCTTCCTTTCTTTCTTTATTATTTTTTTTTTTACCACATCTTTTTTGTTGGCTGATCTACAGAAATGCACTGATTTTGCTGCTTTGCTAAAAGCATGAGCTACCGTGGCGGTTTCTGCCAGGTTCAGTGGCAACGCAAGGTCCAAAGTTGAATTGCAGTTGGGCGGGTCTGACCTGGTGTAGGACAGAGACCAGGGGCACTTTGGGTTTGCTGCTCAACAGATAACGTCCTCAGGAAATTTGGCCGGAAAATGTGTCAAATTGTAGGGTTTTGGGCCCGTTCTTGAGGAGGTATCGAGGAAGAATTTGTCTGCAATTGTCAGCCATTTTTCTACTCTTTTTTTTTTTTTTTTTAAACTCTCCTGAATGCAGTTTTTGCCATCCGCTCTGCTAGTGACCGTTTCCACCCCCATTACTAAAAGCCGCACCCATAACATCTCATTACACCTCCCCACCCCAAAACAAATGCAAGACTAGCCTGGTCCTGAACTACTCTTGCATTTTGTTCTGGACTTGATTTACTGTTTTGTTTTGGGTTTTGTTGTTTTTTTGTTGTTTTTTTTTAAAGTTGTTATTTTTTAATTTATTTTTTTTAACTGTCTCTCTCTGGTGGTGAGGGGAGGGTGAAGAGGGGACGAGGAAGGTGGTAGGATGTCGTTACCATCCCTAGGCTTCCACAGCACAGTCCCATCCGTCACGCAGCTGGTGCGGCTGGTGTGGGTAGGTAGGCTGTTGCACCGACGAGGTTGATCCTAACCCTGCTTCCTCGAGCAGCCAGAGCTTCCTCCATCCTTTTTCTGCATCCAAGGGCCATTGGCAATTGCACGGTTCAGGCTCTTCTGTTCCTTCCAGGACAGCTGCCTTTGCAATCCAACTGGCTTCATGTTTTCTCCCCGTTAGCATCGTAGCATCGCTCCGATAGCACGAATTTCAAAGTGCGGCTCCAGCTTGGGGGAAGGAAAACGAAATCAGAGTCATTCAGCCCTACTGAAAATTACCCGTTAGCTCTTGCCGATGCCAGCCCCGAGCACCGGGTGATTTTAACACAGACTCTCCAATTCTAGGAGGTCTCGCGATCGGAGAGGGTGTTTGAGCGATCCAGAAGCGGTTATTTTCAGAGAGGCTTGAGGTGTGCCAGCTCAACATCAGCAGATAGAGAAGGTGCCCCGCTGTCCACAAAGCAGTGAGCAGGACCATAAAGAGCATGGGTGGCAGAAATGTTGGACCCAGGTTTTGTAAAGAAGTTTTCCTTTCTATCTGTTATGTTCATCGGACAGAGGAAAAAAAAAACAAAAACCTCAAAAGTGCCTATTTTAATCTGAGCCAGCAGTGACTACAGTTTGTTCTGTTGCTTACACCTACTAATGGGAATAAATCCTATCAATCTGAATTATTTAAAAAAATTTTAAAAATCAATAGCCAGTAGTGACCAGTGCAAAATAGATCAGGGTATTTTTCACTAACTTTGAGGGGTTTTTTGTTGTTTGTGGATTTTTTTTTTTAATTTCTTGTAACACATATTACTTTTCACCATGGAATATACTACAGCTTCTTAAGATACAAGTTTCCAGCTCCTGTTTTAAACACAGTGAGAACAAATCTTTTCTGTGGAACAGTGATAAGAGAGGTACTCTCGCCCTGAAATTAAGCGATGCAAGGTTTTTGCATCCCATCGTTCTCTTTTTGATGAACTTTTTTATTGGTGTTTAACATGGAGAGTGTAGCCCTGCCGGAAAGGCTTGTGTCAGCCCTTCCAGGGTAAGCTTTGTTCCCTTTTCTCAAACACAAGACATCGGAACTGGTTTTGAGTTCTTCCTTTAGGAAAATAAGGACTTGAAGTGCATTCACCTCCTGAGACTCGTCCAGGTGCCCGTTTCTCATCGCTGTAGGACCCATCGGCAGAGCCACAGTCCTCTTCACACCCTGAGCCTTGGGAGGATGCTGAGAGTCTGAGTGCTTCTGTCCCGTGGTTGCTATTAAAATAGAAATTTTAGCTCTTTAGTCTTACAAGATGATCATGCTTTGCTTTTTTTTTCTTTAAGGCTTAGGGAAAATTTTCAAGGGTGGGAAAACACTGTTCGGTGAATGAGTGCAGGTCATTCTTTATAAACTCTTGTACTAGAAATAGTCCATGTGTGCATATTTTCTTGTTTCCGAAGGTTTTTATGACTTTTCCTCCAAGTGTCACGATGAAGTGAAGGTTGAAGGCATATGTAAACACCGGTATTAGTATAGACGAGTTGTTGGAAATCTTAAATATAGGCAATTGAAATGTTTATAAAGGAGAAAATCAGCTGGACCAGTGAATATTTATGCTTCGCTTCTCATGTTTGATGGTATTAAAATAGCTGGGAGGTAGGGCTGCAAGTGAACCCTGGTCCACTTTTTCTTACTGAGAAAACCTCTTAATAAGAAAATCAATAATTAGTAGCCAGTTTTGATCACTCTTCTCAGGCAGAAAGTAAAAGGTACCGAGTCCCTGTAGCATGAATCAGCAGAGGTGGACTGTACCGTGTGCTTCGGCACGTGCTGGACGTTGCTAAGCCATCACAACTAGCAACAGGTAGAGGCATATGGTGGGTAAAAAGCCACCATGGGATCTAGTTTCATTTGCTCCATTTAATTATTGGAGCTATTATCAATAGATTTATCAGCTCTCATCGTGGAGCTTTGCTGATTACACTGGGAATTAAGGGTTTAAAGACCTAACTCAGCTTCTGGAAGAGGATACCTTGTCATCTTTATTTCTATTTTCCATTTCTTGCATTCATTTTTATTTCTATTTTAACAATCAGTTACTTATTGGAAAATGCTTTTAATGTTTATTGAGCATGTTAAATTCTGATTGCTTTCCTCCGTGTGTAACCCAAGTGGGTGGGAAGTGATTTAGTAACCCGAGCTCAGGGCTGGGAACCAGGACCTCCTGCACTCAGCCGAGCTCTACCGCTGACTCCTTCAGCTCCCCGGGGTTAACCCGTCTCCTTCGCTTTCGGATGGGGGTGACAAATCCAACTCATTAAGGAGGGTAATGTGATCATTATGGGCGGGGGGGGGAAGCCTGAAAAACGAAATTGCACTGTGTGTAAGTGCAAAGAATTGCTGATCTTTGCCTTGCAGGGACTTTCCGGCGACCCCCTCGCCGGCAGGACACTAGCTGTGCCTGCCTGGCTCTTAGCTGCTCTCCGGCCATGAGTCTCCATCCTCCGCTCCCACCAAATATTTGGAACGGCTCTGAGTCCAGCTGCTTTGACCATATCCCTCCACCTTAAACAGTTTAAAATTGCCACTGCTGCTTGTTTTAAGTTGGTTTTTGGTTTGGTTGGTTTGTTTTTTTTCCCAGGCAGGATAAAGAATGCCTGCATTCGTACCCTGTAGTGCCTTTAAAATAACTAGCAGCTTTGGCTGTTTATCTCCCAGCGCTCGAGCAGCACACTTCCCCCCGTAGCGATGTTCACTCGTTACATCTCAGTACCTGTCTGTCACTGTCCTGCAGCAAAGCTTTTGACTGTTTTGTGGTTGTTCGTTCTGTTGTTTTTTTTTTTCTTGTGGGTTTATTTTGCATAGAGTGTGACATTTTGGTTCCGTTGTGGTGTTTCTGACTCTTTGTGCCTTTCCTTTTGTGTTTGTTTCTCCCGCCTTTCCTCAGTTTGCAGCGGGGCCTCGACCTGCCCATCACCAGGTACAGTACCCTGCCCCTTCATTATCATCCTAAACTAATTGGCTGGGGGAGGCGGGTGGTTGGAGGTGGTTCACCCACTAACTCAGAACGAAGGCTCGCTTCAGAAACCAGCCCCGGTAGTAGATACTAGCACGCGCATAACCCCGCTAACAAGCTGCCTGCAACGCAGACTTAACACTTTTAATTCTCGATTGGTGTCGCTGCACTCATTAACCACCCCACTTAATGCCCTTTCCCTAGGAAAGGAGAACCTGTAGAGATGGTTGCCAGGTATTCGTGAGATTTGCTTGCCTTTTCAAGTCGCTAGAAACTTTGCGGAGTAGTTCCCAAACTAGTTGGTGAATTAAGTTGCCTGAGCTGAAGATGCCAACGAGAACCGGGCGTTCACATCCCTGAGACAATCCTACTTTTCAAACTTGGAGCGAGGCAAATGACTTCCCAATTCATACGTTTCTTGTGTGATACGCCTGGTTATCCGTTATCATTACGCTGCTTCGTGTTATTTTTACTCATCCTATGAAAGCCAAACATTTAGGAATCTTTGTAGTATTCCTGTTGCATGACTTGGGACTCCGTAAGGAACGACTTAATTAAGAAGAATGAAAAAATTAGGAATAGCTTTCTCGTGAAACTCATGGGCAGCGCTTATTAGGATGGCAGAAATACCCAGAGGACCTCTTCAGCGTTGGGACAGATGCACAGGTCCCATCTGTCCTAGTCAGGGTGTCCAAAGTTGGCTTTTCTATCAACTCCTACATTTGTCTTTGCCTAACCCCTTTTCCCTGGGGACTGAATTTTGCTGCTTCTTGTAGCTTTTGAGGGGACAGAGGTGGCACTGGTGGGTGGAAGGGAAGAGGAGAGGCATGGCAAGTGCGGGAAAGCTTTCCCAGAATCAGCTGTTTCGGTGTCACTCTTCCTTCTCTTGGCTTGGAAGGAACCAGTTTGTTTCCACCAAGTTAATGGTGGGGGGGGGAATCCCATTAATTCCAGTGATGTCGGGGCAGGGGCTTGAGTCATGGCAGGTTTGTTCCAGGAGAATTATCTCGTTCTCACTTTGCTCCTGTTAGTCTGAGCAGTTTAATACTGTAGAGATGAGCACCTTTGGGAAAGTGCTGTCTCAGGAGAGCAGGTACGTGCATTAAGTGGGCACAGACACTCAAAAAAGCCGATAATCTTTGTTCCTTCCAGCTCAGAGAGCAGCATGGAGGCAGGCATCCTTCCAGAGCAGGACAAAACAAGGCTTAAAAAGTAGAATGAGGCGTTTGCACTTGTTTGCTTGCAGGCAAACGTCACATGAAAGAGAGAGAGAAATTATTTTTGTGCTTGGCAAGGGATTGCATTGACAGGCGGTGGTGGAGGAATGTTTGCAGGATTACTGGGCAACGTAGGGGATGACGGAATTAGTATCTTGTTTAGATACTTTTGTTCTTGACCTTAACTTCAGGTCTGTGTTTATATTACGCGATACCAAAAATGCATTGCTGTTCAGAAACTCGTTAGTTCTTTCACAGGTCATTATTAAGGCAAATTATATATTCTGTGTGAGCTGTTCAATATTCTCATAAAAATTACTGAGCTCACTGCGAGCAGATTTTGGACCACAAGTCTCGAGGCAGCACAGCCTTGGAGGAAACTATTTCAGCGCTTGGTGGCTTTACTGGTATGACTCTACCACTAATCTGTCATAATTTGATTTAAAACGTTCTTTTGGACCCAGTTGTGACCCTGCCTGCAGGTTAAAAACTTGTAATTTCCAAGTGTTTTCCTGATTTTATCACTACATATTTAACTGTGTTGCAGTTAGATTTTTGACTCGTATTACATTTGAAGTCTGCTTATAATTATCTGCGAGAAGCTATCACTGTTAGAAAAACATTTCAGGCTTTATTCCTAGTTATATCCGTCTTGCGCTGGACCAGGACAGGCACAGAGGAACCTGGGCTGTCGATGAGCTATTTGTTTCTTTTAATCCAAAAGTATCTGCCCATGGTGTGGATTGGGGATGGAAAGGGGGCTTTTGGCCACCAACCCGTGCAGGAGGGACACGGCTGTTGAAGTGAGTTCGTCCCAACTTAAGAGGATGCTTGAGACCAACATAAGTAATTATTCCCACGTGGGAAACTTTTAACATGCTTAAATTGTGTAACATAAGCAGCAGGCTTCGAGACTGAGATTTTGTAACCTAAAAAGTCCAAAATAAGTAAATCGACCGTAGTGGTGTTAATATTTGTTGCAGCAACCAACATGGTCTTCTAAGAAAGCAGCAGCCAGATGAGGTTTGCAACGATTCCTGTGTTAGTCCCAGCGTGATTTTATTAACGTATGCCTCGTATTGATTCTGTCTCTTCTTCAGTCCAACAATGGATCGTTCTTTAATGTTATTTCCTGTAATTATTAGATCTTTAAAGTACTTAAATGAGCATGATTTAAGCACCTGAAGTTGACTGGCAACTTCATAAGCAGGGTTTTTTTGGGATGGGAATGCCTGCCCTGGTGGTTGATAGCCAGTTGACTCTGTAGAAGGTGTCATCAAACTCTGTACAAGAGAAAATATTAGAATGAGATTTAGGACGCTGTACTAATGGTGGCTGAAGCCAAATGAAAATAGCTGTGGCGGTTCTGATTAAAAGTAAAATCTGTATCAGTAATCCTTGATTCCAGTAACACGGCTCCCCGAGAAACCGCTGAAAAGTCTCGTTCTACAAGCAGAAAGAAAACGGGCCCTTGCAAGTGTTTTGTGGCAGTATTTTTAAATGTACCGGCAACTTGTGGTTTGGTTTTTTGGTGGGTGTTTTTTTTGTTTGTTTGTTTTGGTTTTTTTCTCGAAATGCTGTAGCAGACTTAGCTACTGCCCTGCCTGGGCTCGCTGCTCTTTCCCACTTTCTCCACGGAGCATCCCTTTTCTTTTATTTCTAAGTGAGGCTCTTGAGTCACTTTGTTGCTTCTGATCCTCACGAAGCACAGTTGAAAATAGCAGTTTTCTTCTAATCTGAAGTCCAAAATGTAGAATAACCCTTAATTTAAGAAATTACTTCAGGAGCATATGGGTTATTTTAAAATGGATGCTCAGAAGAGGCCAGTGTAATTAAAAACAGAAATAAGAGCAAGTATAAACTGAAATGTCATAGTTTTCTGACTTATAATTGTATTTGAGATTAGTTTACTGGTTATGGCAGACTAATTTAGTTTGAGGTTGCTGCTGTAGTTTGTTCCAGTTTTAGCTTGGGGTTACTCGAGTTCTTTTGGGTATAGCTTATGCAACAGAAAGCTGGGTTTGGCCGTGTGCTGTTGTTAAAAAGCCTTGTGATTTGGAGAGGTTGGGAATTTATGCCCTGAGCTGACTCAAGACTGACCATTTTGTAGCTTTTTGGAGTATCTCGAGTTAGAGAGCAGCTGGAACCAGCCGCCGTAATTATTTCTCGATCTTCATCCATAAGCGTGGAAAGGAGCTACCAGTTTTAAATGCCACGGCTGACACAAAAACAGGGTTTTCCCCCCCATTTTTTCATTTAGTAATTGATACAGCTGGGAAGGGCTGAGGCAGGGAGGAAGAGCAAGTCCGGCGTCGTGCACCAAGGGCTGCAGTAGGTTGCTGGTGGCCAGTGGGGAAGCAAGATGTGGCCCTGCAGGGTTTCTGCTGCAGCTCCTGCTTCTGGCACCAGATCTTTACATCTCAGGGCTGCAGTTCCTCAGCCGAGCCCTGGTGCCTGTGTTCAAGTTCAAAAGGTCAAATATAAGGGAGGGACGGGATGCCGTCCGGAGGGACCTGGACAAGCTGGAGGAATGGGC